AGGCACTGCAAGTCAGTGTAGCGCAGACAGATTCCTACTAACACTGGAACCACTGCAGTTCACTCCTGTGCAGGGCACCAGACATATTTGAGGCTGAAAGCCACCAGTATGCTCCCTCAAGGCATCCCTAATTCTTGCAGCCCCGTGCTGGGCCCCTCTAATAGCCCTGTTCTCTGTCTGTTCAAATTCACCCTCCAGGTGTTGAACCGCCGAGTTCCATGCCTGAGAGAATCATTCACCCTTCCCTTCACAAATGTTATGGAGGGTACAGCACGCGGATTTAACCGCAGGGATGCTGTCATCGGCCAGGTCCAGCTTCGCATACAGAGAGTGCCAGCAGCCCTTTAAACAGCCAAAAGCACACTCCACAGTCATTCTGCACCAGCTCAGCCTGTTGTTGAACTGCTCCTTGCTGCTGTCAAGGCTCCCTGTGTAGGGTTTCAGGAGCCATGGCATTAACGGGTAAGCAGGGTCTCCAAGGATCACAATGGGCATTTCGACTTCCCCTACGGTGATCTTCTGGTCTGGGGAAAAAGTCACGGCTTGCAGCTTCCTGAACAGGCCAGTGTTCCGAAAGATGAGTGAGTCATGCACCTTTCTGGGCCAGCCTGCGTTAATGTCAATGAAATGCCCACGGTGATCCACAAGTGCCTGGAGAACCATAGAGAAATACCCCTTCTGATTAACATACTCGGAGGCTAGGTGGGCTGGTGCCAGAATTGGAATGTGTGTGCTATCTATCGCCCCTCCGCAGTTAGGGAAACCCATTTGTGCAAAGCTATCCATGATGTCATGCACATTACCCAGAGTCATGGTTCTTCTGAGAAGGATGCAATTAATGGCCCTGCAAACTTTTATCAACACGATTCCAATGGTTGACTTTCCCACTCCAAACTGGCTAGTGACTGATCAGTAGCTGTCTGGAGTTGCCAGCGTCCAGATTGCAACAGCCACCCGCTTCTCCACCATCAGAGCAACTCTCAATCTCATGTCCTTGTGCCTCAGGGTGGGGGCGAGCTCTTCACACAGTCCCATGAAAGTGGCTTTTCTCACCCAAAAGTTCTGCAGCCACTGCTCCTCATCCCAGACTTGCATGACGATGTGATCCCACCACTCAGTGCTTGTTTCCTGAGCCCAAAAGCAGCGTTCACGGCGGTAAGCATGTCACAGCGTTCACGGCGGTGAGCATGTCCGTGAATGCCACAAGCAAACTCGTGTCATATGCGTTACTCGTGTCAATATGATCGTCGGAGCCCTCACTGTCACTTTGGATCATAAGGAATAACTCGACTGCCAAACGAGACGTGCTCACGAGACTAGTCAGCATACTCCTCAGCAGTTCGGACTCCATTCCCGCAGACCGAAAGGGAAGACCGAGCACGCAAAACAAAAAACATTGAAAGATGGCGCCAATTGTGGATGGAAGCACAGAGATTGCTGGGATGCGAAGTGATGCATCATGGGGCATTGGGACAGGACCCAGAATGCCCCGCACCCCCTGCCCTCTTCCCACAAGCCCACAGCGCCAGAATGGGAAGAGGTGCTCTGTGGGACAGCTGCCCATAATGCACTGCTCCCAATGCCGGTGCAAGTGCCGCAAATGTGGCCACGCTAGTGCGCTTGCAGCTGACAGTGTGGACAGACTGCCGCGCTTTCCCTACTGCGCTCTCCGAAGGCGGATTTAACTCACAGCGCTCTACCTCTGCAAGTGTCGCCATGCCCTTAGTGACTAATTCTTATATTCTCTGAAAAAGCTTCAATGAGCATCACAAAACCCATTCCTGCAGTCTTGCTGCATGCAACACTCCCACTTATTTCAGTGAGAGGTACATGCTCCTTAGACTGCAGAATCAGGTTCAAATTTAAACCTGTGAAATAGTCCCCTCCTTTTCTTGCTTAGTCTTTTCTGGTTAACTTCCATAAATATGCCATATTGCTCATGCTCTCTGATTAGATAAGTCCAGTTGTTATAACAGTTTGAGTTTGTAGAAGTCATTAACCACAGTTAGCCCTAAGACCATTGGCCTCCGCATTTAAAAGCAGAGATATTGAATGTCCCATTAGGTTTATTTTGCTATATTATATGTATATTCAGCCATATTTTGAAGACTAAGTACCCTCAAATAAAACCTGAACCTATGTCTAAGTTCAAAATATTTTGATACCATATTTGTTTCGTTTTTACACATTTCACACATTTTCATACAACTCTGCACATCCTGGGTCTGCCTGGGATAAGCAGACATGCCTTTTGGAGAAGCGGGTGCTCAGAATCTCTGGAAATCAGACCCAAGGGTGTCAATTTGGGCCTCCAAATTTAGGCTTCAACCCAGCAAAGTATTTAATTAAGTGCTTAACTTTAAGCACTTGGGTAGCTCCATTGGGTTTAATGTGATCTTAAAATTACTCTGTTAGACTGGGGCCTTAGAACACTTCTGCAAATTTGGTTGTATATCTCTAGATGTTCACTCATCTCCAGTTAGTATCCGATAGTACATGTATGTTACAGCTACTGAGTAGAACTTCAGTGTGCAGGGTAACCCTTTCAGCAAAGTCCCTTCAATATGCCAGAAGGTGGGAAGGACAAGAGAAATAGAATTCCAGGATTAAGCATATTTTTATGATGATTAAGGTAGAGAACAAAACTGCCTGGTACAGCGTATGGTGACAAGGCATTGGATTGCTGCTAACGTCTCTACGTGAAATTCTGGCCCCATCAAAATCGATTGGACTTTTGCCATTGACTTCAATGGGGTTAGGATTTCTGTCTCTCCGAATCATTTTCTCTTCTATTTCTGCTGCTAGTCCTTGTAGAATGTTCATATAAATTCCCCATCCTCCCCTCTCTTCTTTTTGGTACTGCTATCCTGTCTGTGTCACTTTCTCTGAGTGTTTTGAAAGTGACTGTACTAATTTTTTTCCACCGGAGACCGGCCTTTATCTCATTATTTAGTTTTAAAGACAAACTCAATGTGCTCGGTTGTTGTGCATGTGAAAATTACAGTGTTTGTAACACATGTACACTAATTAAATTGTTCCCATCCGGTCGAAATATAAGTCCTTGACTAGTGCCTTTAGGTCACCCCGTGTGGATCCATTAACATGCAGCAGTAGAGCACTGTGCCTTGGCTTGCAGCTAAGCACCATTTTAATCACCTTTTATTAGAACATCTCCCTTTTGGCGTAGAACTGGTTAGCACAGGGGATTGGGAATGAGATGCCTTTTGCAGTGATATGCTGGAAGGGGCTCCTGAGAGTATCTTGTTAAAATTCCGCTGTAATTTGAAGGGAGGTGTGGTTGGGGGATAGGGAAGATTTCTGTGTCTTGAATGGAGAGCAACCCATTTTCTGGAGATTATTTAATCATTCTTCCCAGGGATGATTTATCTGTGGGCTCATAAAAATATTTCTGAAAAGCAAATGTTTTGCCTGTGAAATACACTAGATTGTGCAAAGTGTCAGGTAATTTGATGTTAAAGAAATCCCAAGGGAAGGAACCCCGTGGAAAATTTTCTAGAAGAATATACATCCGAAGCTCCCTAGACACAATCTCCTGCTCCATTTCTAATTATGCAAATTGGATGGTGTGGTGCACCGTCAATATAGTTAGGGTATTTATAAGCACTAAATATTTCTAACAAAGGATTAATATAAATGCATTTGCAAGCTGACGGTGTTTCCTTCGTTGGTCATGTTATAGTGATGACATAGCATTTCTTTTAAAATGGGAAATAAATAAATAGATTACCTCATCCTCTACCCCTGCTCTCAGCAAGTGAATAATCCCTATATATAGATGTGTGATTACTGATTGATTTGCTGATGGCATGCCAAGCACTGTGAAAACATAGAGGCGATAGAAGGTGAAATTGACAGCAAAACTTCCATTGACTTCAGTGGGGCCAGCATTTAGTATTTCACCCATCGTCCCTGCCCAAGGCGCTTACATTCTAGCAGCTAAGGGTATGTCTACACTTGCAGAGTTTTTGCACGGTCAGTTTCACTGGTGATAGTGAATCAGTGAAAGAAAAGCGCTGGTTTGTGTACTCACTTTCACAGGTGTCAGAGAGTGTTTACATTTGCAGCATTTCCATTGTCGATGAGAGCAGCGCTCTAGGGCTGCTATCCCACAGTGCAGCTCTCTCCATTTTGACGATAGGTCTTGTGGGAAGGGGTTGGGCATGATCGCAGGGCATCCTAGGTCCCTGCCCAGCCTCCTCTCCCCAAACACTGATCAGCTCCCTTAGCTCAGCATTGCTCCAAGCAGGGGATTGTTTGCTCCATGGAGCAGGCATTGTCACCTGGCTGGATGATAAGTGAGCAGGAAGGGGAGTTTCAGGGGCTCTACAGGGGGAGGGGTCAATGTCTGTTTACCTCGCGTCAGAGCAGCAGAGCTGCTGGCCAGAGTGGTCACCTAGGCACTGTGGGATATCCTCCGGAGGCTAAAAGCTGTGTAAACAGGAAGAACATGTCTTCACTTGCACATCACCACAAAAGTATCACCAGTAAAAGCTGTACGCCTTTCGTGGAGGTGGTTTTCTTTTTGTGGTGAAACTCAGAAGTTTCACCACAAAAAAGTCATTGACAAGTGTAGACGCTCCCACGTTTTTTGCGCAAAAAAGGGACTTTTTCCGCTTTAAATGGCAAGTGTAGACAGACCCTTAGACTTTAAGAAAGGAATGCTTAAACTCAGCAGCTCCCATAGATTCCCATTCATTCCAATGACTCGTTATTGCAACTCATTGAAATGCACTCACACAAATGAATATTTAACCCAGATAAAAGTTCTGTATTTTGAACATCTTTTGTGCTGGTGCCTTTTTTTTTTTTTTTTTTTTTTTTGCATCTGGACTCAAGCACTGGACCAAAATAAAATATACAATTTTATAAAATATATAATTACTAATACCTAGAAGTATATACTTAGAACCACCCCTCTCCAGTATTAGAGCTGTAGGATTCACCTTTTCTGTTTGATATTTTCCTCTCTATCTGTTCAGATGTGAAAGAAAATGAAGACTAGCAGCTCGGGTGCAGAATTAAAAGCAGATCAGAATCAGCAACTTGTTTCCCATTGCATGGCCTAAATCTTCAGCTGGGAATTGGACCACAAAACTCACTCCCTGAGCATGACTTGAACATGCAGATAAGGTATTCAAGCATACTACAAAACTCTCTTCTTATTACCTTTTTTCCTCTTTGATGCATTAGGATTTCTAAAGGAAACATTCTGACAATAAAAACTGGTGGTTTGCAGTGTCTGCTAGGTTATGATGATTCACACAAGGTGGTATACTGGAATACTACTTTTCTATAGGGGTGTAAGAAAAAGGATCATTGTAGGAACCAGTGAATACAGTACACGTGTACTATAAATCAGTAAGACAGAGAAAAAGAAGAACCAGTTGGATAAATTGAGACAGTTAAAGGATGAATGATCACTACTTGGTTAATAAACAAGAGACTCCAATACGCCTGTCATTCATGCCTTCAAAGATTTGCTCAATAAGACTAATTCAGATCTGTCACATGAAACTGAACTGTGCCTTCTAAGAAGTAGCTCTCACCTATCTCCTATATGTGTTTCCTTTTTATCATCTACACACACAGGTTGCACCGGTTTTACTAAAATCAGTGTTTAAATATATTTAGTTAAGCTGTTACAAACAGCTGCACTTACGTACTTAAATTGATTTATAATAGAGACATATTGATCAAGATTTCAAATTAAGCTAACTCAGTATAAACCAGCTGTAAACCTATTCAAATATGTTGACACAGGCATTTGCCTCAGTTGAACTAAGGGTTCGTCTGCACTGCAGCTTATGTAGACATGCGCTGCTAGCTGTACTGTAGGTAGCTCGCTAAAAATAAAAGTGAAAACACTGAGGTATGGGCTTCAGCACTGGCTGTACAAGCCAGTCTGACCCCCCCTGAGTCCGTGATCACTTGTGAAGAGGTGCTGAAGCCCACGGTGTGGTGTCCTCGCTCATGGGCGGTGGGTATAATAGGCAAGGGGTGGCTATAATAGGGTTGTGGTGGGTGGGGAGGTCTGGCGGGGGAGGTGAGAAGCAGGTGAGTGAACGGCAGCTGGGTGGGGGAGGAGGTGAGCAGAGGGGGGAAACTCACAGTGGGGGGTGAAGAGATGAGTGGCGAGTCAGTGGTGGGCAGGAGTGGGGCCTGGGGAAGAGCAGGTGTGAAGTGTGGCGGGGCTGTGGGCAGAAGAGGTGGGACAAGGAGTTAGCCTCCCCCTGGGGAAGTTTCACCCACTGCCCACTTCTGTTTTTAGCAAGCTACCTAGAGTACAGCTATCATGGGTAACGTCTACACAAGCTGCCATTCACCCCCTCACCTGCAATGTAGATGTACCCAAAGTCCATGTAAAAAAAAATTGTGAAACCTTGTGTGTGCAGACAAGATCTATATTATATTGATTTATTTTGATCTGGAACTCTTCTGGCATAATCTGCTTAATGGCCAGCATAATTGTACAACTGCAATGTTAAGCATCAGCGTGAATTTTTGGTCTTGTTATGAATTTGACTGACTGGAAAATTTTTCTGGAATGGTCTACGTGTTTTCCTTGCAATGGGATTTAACCCACATATTTGTCATCCAGGGTTTGTTTTGAAATTAATTTTATTAATTTATTCCAAACAGGGTATCCCCGTAAATTTTGTCCTGCAAAAAATTGTATGGGTTCCTCTCATCAGTAATTATATTCCTAACGGATGTGTCTGGCTGTATAGTACATGATTTATGGACACACTAATGAGAAATATTGAATTCCATCAGGACAAATGGCCATGTACCGTATAGCCAGGCAGTTAGGAATTCCGTCATATATAGAATATTTGTCCCTCTAGGAATTTATGGTTTAGGCTGTCCAGGAGTCCGTCCTGATCAATCCTAGAACTAATCTTATTATTTATAGGCCCAAATGTTTGTCCTCTTGGAAATCCTCATCCCAAAGATTAATTCTGTGGCATATGTCTGTACTTCAGTGAATTGAGTTTGTTTTCTTGCCAGGAATTCAGTATGTATACAACTTTTTTAAGGGTCATATTCATTTTGGCTGGGATTGTCAAGGGCCTAAGAGAGTTAGGTACCCAAATTCCAACAGATTTCACTGGAATTTGGGTAACTGTCTCTCCCAGGCATGTCTGAAAATTTCAGCCTTCAAAAGTATGAGGGGTTTAAACCTGTAGCTACCTATAAGTTCTTCATTGGTATTTTTGCTGCATACTATGGCCACTCAGAACTTCACTGGTATGGGGATAGAACTGATATTGTTCCTAGGTAAAATAATGAAGTGGCTGATATGGGACTCAATAAAAGAATTACAGGAGGGTAATAAAATCCAATCAACATGGATTTATGGAAAATAGATCCTGTCAAATTAGCTTGATATCTTTTTTTTTTTTTTTTTGGACAAGGTTATAAATTTGGTTGGCAAATGTAACAGTGTTGATGTAATATACTTAGACTTCTGTAAGGCATTTGCTTTAGTGCTGCACGACATTTTAATTAAAAAACTGGACTAATACAAAATTAACATGAAATGAATTAAATACTGCCTGGCTGACAGATATAAATATGTAAATTGTAGTTGGGGAATCATCAAGAGAATGTGGGATCCATCCGGGATCAGTTCTTAGCCCTACGCTGTTAATCATTTTTATTGATGACCAAGAAGGAAACATAAAGTGATTGCAGAGCAAGTTTACAGATGACACAAAGATTAGGGGAGTGGTAAATAATGAAGAGGATAGGTCACTGATAGAGAGCAATCTGGATCTCTTGGTAAGCAGGGCACAAGCAGATTCTCTACTTTACTGTACGCATCTAGGAACAAAGAATCCAGGCTATACTTACAGAAAGGGGGACTATCCTGGGAAGCAGTGAGTCTTAAAAAGACTTAGGAGTCATGGTGGATAATCAGCTGAACATGAGCTCCCAGTGTGATGCTGTGGCCAAAAGGGCTAATGTGATTCTTGGATGTTTGACAGAGTGCTGGGAATCTAGAGCTGACCCAGCATTCTGGTCACTGTGTTACCAGCTATTACCCCTCTAGAATGGATTTAATTGGGGGCAGGGATAGATGTTCAACGGCTTAATTAGGCAGGATGCTGATGACCTTATGAAAGCAATCAACTGGGAACAGATAAAGAACAGGAAGGAAGTGCAAAAGTGGGGAGGCTAGCAGGAATCAGGGGGATACAGGATGATAAGATCTTACCCTCTCCCTTCCTGGAGGGTGGATTAAGGAGGGAATTTACTTCCAACTGTATGCTGTTGTGCAAAGCTGTACTGGAGAATTGGTGGAGGTCACCCAATAAATAACACATGGGTGCTTAGAAACTCGTAAGCATCCGGCCTGTTTGTGGTGGTCCAAAGGGCAGAGAAGGGAACCTGTTAACAGATCTCAACTAAGAATAAGGAGGCTATGACCTATGTACTTGGAACTGGTGGGTCTGCTGCTGGAATACTGTGTCCGCAGTTCAAGAAGGAAGTTGATAAATTGGAGAGGGTTCAGAGAGGAGCCATGAGAATAATTAAAGAACTAGCCAACCTGCTTTATAGCAATAGACTCAGAGATCTCAGTCTATTTAGCTTAATAAAGAGAAGATTATGGGGTGACTTGTTCATAGTCTATAGGTACCTACCTGGGGAATCGAAATCTGAAAATGGGCTCTTCCCAATGTAGCAAAGAAAAAAATATAACAAGATCTAACACTGGAAATTGAAGCTAAACAAATTCAGACTGGAAATTAAGTGCACATTTTTAACCGTGAGGGTAATTAACCATTGACACAACTTACTAAAGATTTTGACGGGTTCTGCATTGCGGGGAATTTTAAAATAAAGATTGGATGTTTTTCTAAAAGATACGCTTTAATATTTCAAACAGGAATTATTTGGGGGAAGTTCTATGGCTTGTGTTATGCACCAAGTCAGACTAGAAGATCTAGGTGATCCCTTTTGGCCTTAGACTCGATGAACTCAGATTCATCTTGTTCTATATGCAGACTCTTCTAATATCGAAGTTAGAGAAGAATGTTTATTAGCTGTTAGTACCAAGGCCTATAACTCACACAGTTGATACCATTCTGATTCTAATCAGTAGAGAGCAGTGACACACATACATGCTAACCAGTATATTAAAGAAGAGAAAGTAAGAATTGTATTCATAATGCTAAAGGCTGGTGAACATTTAATGAGTTATAAAAACACTTTTTAATAATATATTGGCTTATTGTATTACTTACTCACATCCACTAAACTTGATCAAATGCCTTCTTATTGGTATGCTTGTGGTTTTGACCTTTCTGGCTATATGCCTTCATTTGTAGATATCTGTTTTATTGTATCTGAAACTCAAAAACAACAATAATATTTTGAAGGGGAAAAAAAGGTTGTAACACATGCGCAAGGTATGATCTAGATCCTTAACTGGTGTAAATCTGCCATAGCTCCTTCGAATGCCATGGAGCTAGGCCAGTTTACACCAACTAAAATCTGGCTCGATATATGTATTTGCAATATAATGTGAATGTATGCATCTCAGAGTTCTTTGACAAGATCATAGAATGAAAACTTTGACAGGGCCTGAGGATCGTGGTGAATGTTTTCTTCAAAATCACTTTGATAAATATAACCCCAATAAAATATTCAAAAGGATACAAGGGTGCATGATAAACAGAATAGCCAAAGCTAAAGAAATACAGGATCATAGCATTCAGAGGTGGAAAAAGACTTATCTTGAAAATGGAGTCCATATTCCTGCAAGGCAGGATGCAGTCAGGTAATTTTAATTTTGGTGTTTCTGAACTTTTGAGTGCTTTATTTTGTAATCTTTATAATGTGGTTTTACTGGATGTAATGCCTTTTTTAAAAAATCAAATGAAAAAAACAGGAATTCTATCACGTGGCATCATATTGATGCTCACATGGTCATCAGCAGGGTTGGAATCTTTTGATCAATAACCCAGACCCCTGTCACTTGAGCTATGGGAGTAACAGATAGAGAGGATGGCAACCTTCTATTGCTAAGTAACAGCACTAGAGGGGAATGAGAGGTACACCATGCCAGTTTCATGGATGTCTGCTGTCAGCAGAGAAGTGATGAGACTTGGGAATCCTAGCTTCCA